GACACTGTAATAAAATGGACACTTTTTTTAAAGGCAGCATAAATGAAATTAAAATTTGATTAATTGTCATGAAAATATCACGATACTCAAATAGCATTTGAATGGAATCCACTCAAAGGCCTACTGTGTCCATTATATCAATTACCACTGAACTTTTTAAAAAAACAAATAGGTGAGTGAACACAAAAACACCAATTTATTAATTTAATATGGGGTAAATATCTATTCTGCAGAAAGCTCAGGAGACACTCATTTTCTGAGTGTCTTTTTGAGTTTACCAACAAGTCTTCATAATAAAGCATAATGCCTTATGTAAAAGAAAAAACTGCGATTCATGATACAACGATTCATGATACAACGCCATGTCTGACGCATACAGGATGTACTCATCTGATTAATCTGTTGAGTATTCAAGTAAACAAAATGACTAGTAGCTAGTAGACGGTACAGCAGCTCACTAGGTTTTGGAACTCAGTCCATCAGACGCTGTTACCTTTACTGAGCCGAGGCTCAGAGCCTGGCTTTTGTGTTGAAATCATCACAACATATGGAAACTCCCAGAGAGGCCAGGAAGCATCATGGATGTGTTTGTGAGGGAGGGCTACATTACCAGTGACCTGGTTGGTGGGAAGAGGCACATGTACTTGCAGCCAAATTCAGTTGGAGTGTGAGTGTGTGTCCAGCACTGTAGGCCTGGCCGTCTCTATCGTCAGAAATGGAGGGAACGGTTTCGTCCAACACCTCCGTCCTGTTCTCATTTACAGACATTAGCTTTCATACCCTGCTGATCTGAGCAAACACACTGGCCAGATAACTACATGAAAGGAAATGCCTACTCACCCGACAAGGACGAGCCTCTCTCTGCTGTTTGTCTCTGGTAGTAATCAGTACAAATACACACACCTGTTCTCCCTTCGCAAGCTGCCAGCAAGGTAAACCACCTTAAAAGGCGATATTAACTTAAATTAATGCCCTTTAACAAAGTCCTCATCCTGTAATGATTAACTTTACCGCACTCATTAGATGGGCAAAGCTGCTGCTGTTTTTAAATCATTGCTGCGTCCCAACTTGCATACTAGTCTAAACAGTGTGCCAGAAAAGATTTTGTATGTCCCAAATCACAGGACATTGAAAATAGTACTCCAAAGTTGCCTGATATTTCCTAATGGGTGAATCTTAAGATCTTTATTTCCTGTTTAGGTCATAATTCAATTCTGAAAAACAATGAATGAATGTATGAATGAATATTAAAAATGATATGCTAAAGTATTCAGATGGTGTCATTGAATCAGCATCAGCATGTGTCTAATGAGAAAAAGCTTTATCTCAAAATTACCTGTCCAGAGAATAGAATTTATTCAAATAGACTATTGAAATGCGCTATATTCCAAGCCTTATCAAGCCATATAATAACATTGTGTGACAAACAGACCAAAATTTGCAATTTTTTCACTGATAATCACAGTCTCATATCGCATGGCTTCAGAATACTTGAAATATAGTGCATTTTATGTTGCATTTTTTGAAACAGTGTTGTGAAATTGATAAATTGAGCTTTCTGTGTACAACGTCATTATTTTCATGACAATTAAGCACATTTCACCCCAAAATCATTACCACATAGAAATAAATCTCAGTAGTATTACTATATTGGGGAAAATATATTTTCATCGTACATACATTGTAATACACTGATTGGTTGATCATTAAGAAAATAGGATCATAGCCTCACTACTGTACACACTCATAAGTTTGTACTTTCCTGAAGTACATGGTTTTAGTGCATATTATAAGTAATTTAATATAAATAACTCAAATCAACTGAAATTCATGTTGTAATATTGTTATGCTCTCAAAAGAAAACTGTGTATTAAGAGTATATAAAGGGCATAGATTATTGAGGACTTTAAGTGAGCTGTGATTGGTGGTCGAATAGAAATTGAATGGACAGGTTCCAATTCTGTCCCCTGTAGCAGGTGCTGAGAACATTGATATGCAGGGGAGACAGTCTACTATAATAAAGCAAAGCTACATTTTTTCACGTTTCTCTAGCCATTCTTAATAGAATCTCATCACTCACTGAGAGTAAACAGTGTCTGTGCAGGGAAACACACTATAGCAAACATCATGGGACCATATGCCACAGCATTCAGATGGTCTCATAGCATCAGCATCAGTGTGTGGCTAACGAGAAAAAGCTTTATCACAAAATCACCTGTGCGGAGAACAGAATTTATCCAAATAGAAATGCTGCTTGTTTATGAAATGCATAAGTCCACTTAAAGGAACAGTTCACCCAAAAAGCAAACCCAAATCTGTAAGCTGTGTGTGTGGAACACAAGAGAAATACAGATGAATCTTAATGCAACTTTCTTACCACAACTCGAGCTCAAAAATAAGACTCGTCAGCTATATTCCAAGCCTTCTGAAGCATACAATAGCTCTGTGGGACAAGCAGACCCATGCACTGTATTTCAAATCATCTGAACAACAACTTTATATGACAAACAGACCAACATTGTCATTGTTTCAAGACATTTTATGTCACATTGTAGGATCATTAAGACAATATTACGTCTATAAGTCATATACTCTTTTGGTTTTTTTCAGTGTGTTTTGGGGTTTGATCACAATAAACTATTAAATAGTGTTAAAATGTGTTTTATTATCCTTCTATATATAGGTTCTACCAATGTGGTGGCCTGCTCTGTGCATGGAATAAGACGGGCTATGACTGCAGCCTTGCACATCATCATGGGTATGTTTTTTTTTTTTTAAAGCTTCTAGCCATTCAGTAGCCTTACAGCTGCCTGTATGCTAACAGTAAGGCCTTAAGGAACCACGGGACTTAATGGAGCACAAATATACATGATCATAATATGTAAATGGGATTCATATTTACTTTTCAGTTCCACTGAGTTATGTGTGCAGGGGCAACGGTTTCATTTTCACCCATTGGAAGTCTCTCTCTCCCTCTTTTTGGTGCATCCCAATGGTAGTGCATGCGGTGGCTCTCTGTAATCTGTTGTTTAATTAGAGTGCACAGGCTGTTGTTATGGGGGCCGAAAGAAGGCAAGTCCCCCACACAGACTCTGCCTCTCCAGCTTTGGAGATCATGGTTAACAGGTCCCATGGAATGAGAGACAGTCCCAGGAGAGGTGGAGATACGTCTGTCGTCAATCACCCATACAGTCCCGTCACAAACACTGAGTTTCTTTGACGTGGTTGTGGGCCGTCGTTGGAAGTGTTACTTCTGGCTGGCAGTGTTTGCTTTGGCTTTAGTACTGCATGTTCCTGTCTGTCTGTCTTTCTGCGAGGCGTATTTGAAGTTAGCACCAATATGTCTGGGCCAGTGTGTCGACTGTGCAAGCTCTCCTGGGCTTATCTTAACAGACAAGCGGATTTGGCTTGTGTCAGGGGATTACATGCGCAAGCTAAGCTTGCATCCTCTAAAAAAAGACTGGCAAAAATTTTGCTTTACAGCTGAATTACGACTGGGATGAACACAATCAGAACCGCACAATAGAATTACAGAATCAGTTGTGCGCGCGAGTTAATGAGATTCTTTGTTGTCACTGTATCATTGTTCTATGTAGATTACTGATAAATTATTATCTAGTGATATTTTGTTTTCCAATCACAGGCTTCATATGAAGTTCATTGTTGCATTAAAGGAATAGTTCACCCAAAAATGGAAATCCTATCATTATTTACTCACCCTCATGTTATTCCAGAACGCTGCTTTTATTTGCTAATGGAGAAGACAAAAAGGAGCATTTTAGGGTATCTTCATATAGTTATTTTCCATACAATGACAATCAGGCTTTAAATGTACAAAAACAGCATAAAAAGCAACAAATGACTCATGAACTATATTCTAAGTATTCTGAAACTTTGGGTGAAGAACAGGATGAAATTTAAAGGCATAGTTCACCCAAAAATGAAAACCCTGTCAATTACTCACATTCATGTCATCCCAGAGTGCTGTATGCAGTTATTTACTTCTGGAGAAGTCAAAAGGAGAAATTTTAGTGAATTTTCATAGTTCTTTTCCATACAATGACAATCAGGGTTCAAAATGTACAAAAAAATGTGAAAGTCTACTAAAGTCATACTGTAGCTTTGTGTGAAGAACAGACTCAAATTTAAAAGGATAGTTCACCCAAAAATTTAATTTCTGTCAATATTTACTCACCCTTATTTCATTCCAGAATTATGTATATCTGTAGGAGACAAAAGGAGATTTTTAGGGAATCTTCACATAGTTCTTTTTAATACAATGACAATTAATATAACTCATTGACTATACTCAAAGACTAAGATATCTAAAGTCATATGTTAGCTTTGTGTAAAGATACCGTTTTGTAACAGTATGCTGGTATTTACTTCTGTAGAAGACAAAGTGAGAATTTGTTAAGGAATTGTCACATTTTTTTCATACAACAACAATTAGGCTTTAAAAATGCACAAAAATACCATATAGTCCATATGACTCATGCACTATATTCTGAAGTCATATGATAGCTTTGTGTGAAGAAAATACTGAAATTTAAAGGGAGAGTTAACCCAAAAAAGCTTATTGGTCATAATTTACCCTCATTTTGTTTGAAACATTTGACTTTATTTCTTATGTGGAACACAAATATGTTAATAAATTCTGCATTTTTTTTCATGCAATGAAAGTTAATGGGGTTCTATGTTGTTTGGTACCCATTGACTTTCATTGTATGGATGGGTTAAAACAGTTAAAACATTCAAGTTTGTTTCACAGAAGAAAGAAAAAGAATAATGGACGTTTGGAACAGCATTTTTGTAAAGATTTTATAAAGATGCGCCATTTAATTAAGCCGACTGCTGTAGCCTATATCAAGCTTAGGCTGTTTTCCCTAAATTTGTATATATACTGTTTGAATGACAGCTTGGTAAATCTGTTGGCAATCAAATATTCAATATCGCTACTCATAAGTACTTGGTACATTATCAGCGCAGCAGGAGACGTTCAAACTAATATCACGTAAGTTACGTCTCTAATGATTGGTTGATATGAGAAGGGAGGCTAGCCTCCCTTGCCAGGTTTCTTTTCTCAACACACCTCAGTGCTGAAAGTGAACACTCGATGCTGATTGGCAAATTTTTTTAACCAACGGAGGCACGAGAGCTCCGCGCTCCCCTGGCCTCCCCCTCCCCTTCTCTATCACCTAGCTGTTGCAATTACATCAGCAGATTCGGCACATTCGCGATAGAAAAGCGGCGCTTTCACGTTATGGTATTACAACTGTGAAATTACAAACAAAAAATACACATTCTGAGACATGAACTGAAATGAATTGTGAATTTTATTAACATTAAATCATCCTCCTCCCATTTTCACCTCATAATTATGGGGAGGCTGTGCCTCCCCTGCCTCCCCCGATGAGCAGCCACTGCACCACGGTATGCTCGCCATCTCAGCAGGAACGTTGAGAAACATCCTTGTACCGTCGTGATTAATTGCTCCATCAAAACATTGTGGCTCTCAGTACGAACCGCTGAGCTAAGTGTAGGCACTCGCTCAACAAAAGACAGCTTTTCCTTAGAAGACATTCCGACATGCAGGAATTAAGCATCTTATGTTAAGCGAACTGAATAAAAAACACGTTTTTCCCTTTCTTCACTACACAAAATGTCTGGCTTTTGTCGCTGCGAGGTAAAAGAGAAACATCAATGGCACATAAGACACCTGACACGAATGAGAGCGTGATGCCCATTTAGGAGGGCCAATATAGGGCTTGTTCATTTCTAATTAAGCAATATTTACGCATGTGAATAAGGCCAACTGGCTGGATTTGGAAGGATTCAATGAATAATTCATGAGCAGCGATAGCATATGCATGGGTAGACAGAAGGAGGTCAGGAATGTGCCGGGCTACGGGGACTGGACT